CGCTCTCTTCTGCCCAGAAGCACCGAAGCATCAAAGGCAGCTGATTCAGCAAGCATTTTACCTGTGGTCCCAACCTTGTAGGATCTGAGGTCTCCCTCTCCTCTGGGACCAGGACTTCCGTGAGCATGCACTTGGACTCAGCTCGTGGCTCTAGTGTCTAGTTCAAGGCTGACCTGAGAGAGATGCCACAGAAGCATTTGTTCATTAGACTTGCAGCCAAGAAAACCTCAATGAGTTTTCAGTTACAAATAAAACCTGAAGTGGTTATTCTTTCCTTCCCAGCATATTTAAGAACAGTTTTTCAAAGCCAGGAGTGGTGGCGCACACCTGTAATCCCAGCATTCCAGAGGCTGAGGCAGGAAGACCGCTGTGAGTTCGAGACCAGCCTGGGCTACACAGTGAGTTCCAGGTCAGTCTGAACTACACAGTAAGATCCTGTTAAAAAAACAAAAAAAAAAAAAAAAAAATTTAAAAAAAAAGGAACACAATTTTTCTTGTTTGTGTGTGTGCTGGGGATTGAACTCCATGGCAGCCTACCACTGAGCTGCATCCCCACCCCTATTCATTCGTTTATTTATTTATTTGGTTGGTTGGTTTTGAAATAGGGTCTCACTGTGTAGCCCAGGCTGGCCTCAGACTCAGTGATCCTCCTGCCTCAGCCTTTTGGGTGCTGGGATTATAGCTGTGCACCACCATACCCAGCTTATTTTAATTTTGAGATAAAATCTCACTAAATTGCTCAGGCTAGCCTTAAATTGACAATCCTCCTGCTTCAGCTTTCTGATAGGTACAATTCTCCAGAGGCATGTGACACCATTCTTGGCAATACAGCTACTTTTTTTTTTTTTTTTTTGGTACCAGGGATTGAACTCGGGGGTCCTTGCACTTGCAAGGCAGGCCACCGAACCGCTGAGCTAAATCCCTGGCCCAACACAGCTACTTTTTTTTAAAATTGAGTTTATTGGTACAATATAAGTATACAATACAGTTACATTCATTATTGGGATCTTGTACCTTTACATAATAGGTCTTGATTCTCATTTTTCCCCTTGTCCCTGCCCTCCCTTCACCCTCTCCTCCTTTCCCCATTTACAAACACTTCATTTCCATTTTTTCAATTTCTCATATTTTTTTCCTCTCCCTTATTACCTTTCCCCCACCCTTCCCACTTTCCCTACACCTTTAGCCCTTTACTTCCTATTTCACATTATTAATTATCTCATTAGGATCCTGTGTACTATTATAGTTTTTCACACCAGAGAAACTATTCGGTATTTCAGTTAAAGAAATCTCTGTATGAACATTAAAAATAAGGAATCCTAAAATAAAACTAAAAAGGAAAGTAAAAGAGAAAAGGCAATGATGTAAGATTAAAATAATCCTTAATTCTGAAGATGAAAATGGTCCCTGAACATATTTAAATTGCTTCTTGCTCTTGTAGTCTTGTCTTATTCTTTTTTTCATTATTTAGAGAATACTTTATTAGTTCCTGTAAACAAACCCACATAGATATGACCTTACATATTTAATACAGTGTGTTACCCCTGTACAAATGGAAAAAATAAAAAATAAAAATAAAAAATTAACATTTCTAGACCAATATGGCTGTCCATTTCTGTACAATGCCAACTCAACACAGTAAATTGGGATAACTGTTTCCAAAGTTGACAGCACCATTAAAGTTTCCAAAAATTCAAATTATATATATATGT